CTACCAGTCCACACTCCATATTGGAGTCCAATATAACCATAAAACCAGTAGAGAACCACTGATAAACTAATGTGAGCAAATAAAATGAGTGAGCAATAATTGCAGGAAGTATATGTAAAAAATGATTTTAGCTTTATTGATCATTTTAGGGACCTTCCAATACTAATCGGAAGGTTGGCGGTTCGATCCCCGGCTCCTCTTGCTGCATGTCGAACCCCAAATTGCTTCGGTGTATGAGTGTGTATGAATGTGTATGAATGATTAGTTTCCATTCTGGTGAGCACTTGGCAGCCACTAAATGCAGTAAGTGTGGCATGTAGTGTACAGCGCATTGAGCGGTCGAAAGACCAATCATACATCCTTAACAGGTGTCTTTCGTGATAAATTCAGTGTTGTCTTCTCATTGTTCTATCAGCTCTCTGGTTCTAATGCAGGACGAGGCTGTTTATCAGAGTGAAGGCTCTGTGACTATAGCTTGTGTTCAGCTCTACAAAGATTAGTTCTTAAATAATAATCTAACCTTTAAAATATATTTTCTAAAAGTATAATGTTATATAGGCATACATATAACTATGTATATTTTTTATGTTTGTATTTTTAGTCCCAAAACACAGAAAAGCAACTTGTAATGTGGGTAAAGCCGACATTTAGGGGGTGGAAGCTGAGCTGCATTATAAAATACTATTACTTCAATTCAGTGCTATCAGTATTAGCAGATATCCAATTTCAGGTATCAGAACCAGAACTGAGAAAACTGGATTGTGCATCTCTAACCTCAATCTATGGATACAACTAGACTGCCTACAGAATACTTCCTGCAGCTAGGGGGCAAACAGTGACTGCACACACTCACCTGAGAATGCAGTAGCAGGTGTGTGCACCTGAGGAAAGGCGACAGAAGCCAAATCTCTGTTTGCTTTCAATGTCAGTCAACACAAATGTGAAGTTCTGTCCAACCTGGTTGACTGTCGGGCTGCGGGGTGAAAGAGGTTCAGGAGGCAGACAGAGAGAGTGAGAGAGAGTGTGTGAGAGAG